GGTCCTGCCCCTGGCTGCAAGCATGTCCTCCTACACACACAACAGCTGTGCTTGGTCACCTGGAGGAGCTGCGCTCTTTGCTCACACAGTCGTCCTGGGAGGTGGTGTCCCCGTTGCCCACCATGCTGCACGTCCTCCTCTTCTTCCTGCGGTGCGTTGTCCCGTCACCTTCAGACCCAGACTCACACTGGACACGGGAGACAAGGCAAGAATTCAGCCAGGATGCAACCCATTTCCTCACTAAACAAACCTCTGACCTCACGAGACGGCACACACATTGTGCCAGAAGCAAAGCAGTCATTTATGCCAGTTCCACAAAACAGTCTTAATAGCCACCTCTTTGGACGTTTCTGGTTCCCTAAGAATTTCAACTCTCCTCAGATGCCAAGTGTCCCTCCATTATGCTCTAAGGGAAAGGTTATTTGTTTGAAATCAAGACACCCACTGTAAAAATACCTTACAGTTAGCATCTTAAAATTGCATTACGAAATTTCACTCCACCAACACAGTGCTTGATGCAGGAAAGTAAGTAGGTCTAGCACTGAACATTTGTAAAACCCCTCTCTCACCCGAGGAAAGACTAAATTAATAGATTACGTGAAGTTAAGAGACAGAAATTTCATCTGCTAAAGGCGCAGGGCCTTCTTTTTGCTAGTATTAATGCTAGCTTTAAGCAGGTCACTGGATTTACTCAGTTTCCAGGCTTATAATTTACCATCCACAGAGAAAATTCTTCACATGGGCTTTGGCTCTGAGGTCAGAGGATGCGAGTCTGAATCCTGACACTGCTGTTGGCTAGCTGTGTGACCCTGGGCTGTTTACTTCACTAAACCCTCAAATACCTCTGGATACCGCTCAAGGTTATTTTAACTCACATACACATGAGAAGCTGTAAAATGGGCAGAATTCGCCACTCAGCAGGAACGGTGGCAACTGTGGTCCTTGGCAGAAAGTGAGAAAATGTTCACATCCCTCTCCTTCCTGGCTGGAGAGGAAGAGCCATGGCTGGTTCTGACTGGGTGACAGGAGCCTGCAAGACCCATGGGCAAGGAAGAGCGAGCAGGGCCTCACCTCTGAGTCTGAGTCCGACGAACTGGAGCTGGAGGAGCTGGAGGAGTCGCTAGAGCTGTCGGAGGCGATCCCCGTGGACTCCTGAAGGTCAACCGAGTCTGCCAGGACTGCCAACTCAGGGTGCTCTTGCTTCAAGATCCTGGGAAGCAAGAAATGTTGTTCCTCGTGAGGTGACAGGCAGCAAGACCCATACATGACAACTCACACACAAAAGTGTTTCTAAGGGACCTGTATCTCTCAGAAACACCTAGAATACCAGGTGTATCAATTCAAAATGGGTACCGTATAATGGTGAGGACACATAAACCCCAAGCCTGGGAACAAAAACCCCACTATGTTGCCCATATTTTTCTGCAAAGAACACTATACACTAGCTCCACGCAATGACTACCACTGCACAGATGAGCCAGCCAACTGCCAACATGTGATGTAACATTTCCTCGAGTTAGTCTTAGTCTTTTTCCCTTGGGAGAAAAGTTTTTCCTTTTCCTTTTCCTAGTTTGGCTCCCCCTGAACCTTTTCTAGCTGATTTAAAAACAAACAAACAAACAAACAAACAAAACCTTTCTTTTCCACAGCACAGCACTTAATAATCAGAGTTGGGTTTGGTTAGATTCTAACTATAAGAGTAGAAACAATTAGGTAAGAAACACAAGGTATCAAATAACAGAGACAGTCCCCTTTCACTTGGAAGATAAAACTGAACTGGACTTTAGAGCATCCCTCCCCTTCAGGAACCTAACCTGGCATCTGCTGAAACCACTGACAAAAGACCTGCTGTATGGTAAGGTCTTGGAGTGACCAAATCAGCACGCAGCGGCCTACAGGGCGGGGTAAGTGGGCCTCAGATGCCCGAGAGTCCAGGGAGAACAGAAGCCACCACCCTTGCTGGCCCTCTCAGCAGGGAGGCTGAGCACTGAACAAGCCAGAATCCCTCTCTTACCCCGAGAGCTGGTCCCTCCAGGTCAGGGTTGGGACACAGTGGCACGGGGTGGCTGAGGGTGGCTTGCACTGCCGCTGCCCGTGCTGTATCTGTTCTGTGGATAAACAGAGGAGCTAAGTCTCCAGGGCAGTCACCTCACTCACAAGAACTGAAGGTAATAAGTTCAAATGGGAATAATATTTCTGGGTGAGAAAAATAACCGAAATAAAACCCAAACAAAATAGCTTCTTTTGCTAGTACTAGCTTTGAAAAAGAAACAAAAAACAAAACAAAATGAGAAACAATGCCAATTATGACCATATTTTGACTGAGTGGCTTTGATCAAACATGCAGAGTCTTACCCTGCCACCTCGAGGCTGGCAAACATCCTGAGATCTAGCCCTGACCTCGGACCATCTCTTCACTATCCATTAGGTTTGGCAGCCCCAGGTTTTCCCAGACCTCTCTAAAATCAGCACACGGTATTGCAGTAGTGGACTCTTTCAATTTTATCTCTGGGGTAGGAATTGAAACACAGTAAAAATAAGAAAAATAAAAAGGCTCTCACCTATACCATTTCCTTGATAACTTTGGTCTCCCTCTTACCGTCTTGTGCCATACAACAGGGAAGTTGGTGCTGCTGGCAAAATTCTGGGTGATGGCAATAGTAGTGTCAAGATTGAGGACAACGTGCCACCAGCCTCCTGAAATGCAACAAATAAACAGTTAAACAGGGTTTGGTGCTATATACAATCAGTGTGTAGCACAAACTCCAGCAATTGGGGATGCCTATCCCTAAGGGTGAGCCTCAGAAAGACATGAATACAGAGCAGGAAAAGTTCCTCCTGATCCATGGATTGCCAATGACTTGATTGTGTAAATAAAGTTTTATTGGAGCACAGCCATGCCCATCCATTTATGTGTAGTACAGGGCTGCTTTCCTGCCACAAGGGCAGAGTTAAGCAGTTGTGACAACTGTCTGGCTCATGGGGCCCAGAATATTTACTCTCTGGCCCTTTACAGAAAAACTTCGTCGATCCCTGTTAATCCAAAGCTGTGACCAAAACTTTAAAGGCAGAAAGTTGTTCAGCTTCTAGAAGGTTTTTATTCACCCACTTTAAATACCCTCACATCCATGATTGTCTGGTGTAGGACTGCCTGCCTCCTAGCTCTAAATCAGTATTTCCCCACTCAACCTAGCCAGTGCTACACTGCATCAGAAACCCAATTTATAGAAACATGCAAAGACACTGAGTAATTAGTAGAAAAAAGATAAGTAGAATCTTTACATAAAGTTTACCAACAGTTTTAGTTACATGAAATGTGGACAATAGCTCCCCCAGCACTTGAGGACACAGCTACAATTGCTGTCAGTGGTGGGGACCAGTTAGTTCATTCACCAGGCAGCATGCAATGGGATTTTTTTGACTCACTCTCCATATAGCTCTGCTCCAAATGACAAAATACTGAAACCAAAGAATGTACTTTCTTCCAGTTCATCTATACCTGGTACAAAGACAGTCTCTCCTGGTTTTTGTAAGATTTCCAGGGGTTTGAATTCAGGTGGCCAGGTCGGAAGTTGTGTCCGGGGATAAATCACGTTAAACCAGGTAATAGCTTCATCCTGCTGGTTCCCTCCTTCTTCCCGTGTGACCTTGATAAGTTCCCTGGGAGTGCTTGTCGGGAACAGGCACCAGCGCTTGTGGCCCTGAACTAAGGCATTCCAGGCACTGGTTCCCAGAGGGTCGATGTGAATCCCAGTTCCAGACCGTGGTGGCCCCATTACAAACCACCTACAGGACGGAAACATCCAAGATGTGAAGCACAATTTAATTACACATACAGGTACAACACAAAATAGGAACTTTTTAATTTTATGTATCATATCATGTTTATTTCAAAGACTATACAAATTCTGGTACACAAAAACACTGAATTGTGTATGGACTGATCACTAACAGAAAAAAAAGGTCGCTGATGTGGTTTATTGCTGGACTTTAACTATTGAAACTTCCCTCATAGATCGGTGGTTCAACTTTAGTTGCATAATCAAATCGCCTGGAGAACTTTCAGAAATTCTGACATCCAGGGGTGCGGCACCCCAGACCAGTTAAATCAGCGTCTCTCCCATGAGGACCCAGGCAGACATCAGAAGTCCCCTAAGTGAGTTCAATGTGCAGCCAAGGAAGAACCACTCACTGTTTTGAAAAAAGAACAGTTCACTGAACTCTGCTCACAAATGCCTTATAGATAAGATTTTAACTACTCAACTGCAAAATACTTTACCTGTAAGGGGGTCTGCGCTTCTCCCCTGCATACTGGAAAAGGTCATCAGTAAAAAACTTGGGCACCTTGTAGTCTTCCAAAAGTTTCCTTCTTTTGGGGTGTTCACCATAGCTGCTGTCAAAGATGTAAAGGGGGCTGTCATCTCGAGTGCTCTCCATGTATTCGATGTAGTATTTCATCTTCATTTTCACTGAATAGCCATCGTTGTCCTCACCACACTTGAACTTCTGGTTCCGGTATTTCCTTTTTAGGCGCTCCAGAGTCCATTTTTCCTGCGCAGACCAGCCTTCTTGGGCATTCAACAAAACCACGGGCTTGTAAGGCCTTTCATATCGCTCCACAAATTCTTCCACAGACAGCTGTAAAGCGTCTGCCCTTTCCACGTTATCCTGAGGGAATCAGAAAAGACCTGTCCAGTTAAAAAAAAAAAAAAAAAGTCCGTGGCAAATCAGGGTGTCCCCCAGGGCCAATTAGCAATGACATACCTAAGGAGCCAGATTCTCGTTCTGGCTCCTCCCGGGGAGGAGGAGCGGGAGGGAAAGCCCTGCGTGCCCGTGGGCACGTCGCACCCTGAACCACCCCATTACGGGAGGGGACTTCGCATCTCCCACTCCCGAGCCTTGACAGTCAGGTCCTCTAGGGCCCCGCTGCCCAAAGGGCTCAGGGGCGGTCAACCTTCTAGTTGAGGGCACCAAAGGCGTGGACTCTAGTCACCCGGGCAGGTGGCGGCTGCAGCAAGGAAAGAAGGGGGCCCGCCCTGGAATCCGCGCCTCGGGGACCCGGAGCTCCGCGCGGTGCAGGTAAGCCTCGGGGAGCGGGAACGAAGACAGCCCCGGGCAAGGTGCGCAGCTGCTGGAGGTGCCGACGCCCAGCCCCGCGACCCCCGCCCGGCCCTGCTCACCGCCACGGCCGCCGGGCTCAGCGAGAAGCTCTCGTAGTAGTTGTGCCGCGTCCAGTCCAGCGAGTCCTTGAGCTCCGGCCGCGCACTCCGCTTGGCCTCGCGGATCCGCTTCTTACTCTTGTGGTTCATCCTGCAGGGTCACCAGCTGGTTCCGCGGCGACCTCGGCACAGCTCGCTTCCTGCCACTAATGCGCCCCCTCCCAGGTCCCCTTTGGCGGCTGCGACACCAAAACGCCCTTCGCTCGGGCCTGGCGCCTTTAAAGTCGCCTTCCAGAAAATTCACTCCCCAGCCACCTCCCGAGCCTCGGGTTGGGCATGCGGCGGCCGTCTTCCCCACCCCCGCGTCTCTCGCGGTCCGCCATTGGCCTGAGCGCCTCCAGGGCCCGCCCTCATACACGCCGGGCCGCCGCCATGTCGGGAAGGTCACGCCTGCCGCCGCGCCTCCCCACCCATTTCCGGCGTGCCCGCCACTTCCGGCCGCGTGCTGCGTCCGCCGCCGAGACTGGTTTCTGTGTGTGTCTTTTGCGCTGCTTAGGGCCTCTTCTGCTCGTTGCGCTGACGGCCGAGCGGGGCTTTCTTGTTTTTGCCGTCGGGCGGCGGCGGCCGCTCCCAGCCGGCCCGCGAGTTCCTGCGCGAGCAGCCTGGCAGCTCGGAGCCCTCCGCGGCCCCCTGGCCGCCCTGGGCCCACCGACGCCCCTGCGGGCGAGCGTGGCTTCCGAGGGCATGCGGCCAGGGCCCAGCGCTTTCGGTTCTGGGAGGAGCCGGGCCCGGGAGCCCAGGGGGCCGTGCTGGAGGTCCACGTCCCGCAGGTGCGTGCTGCTGCACCCGCCGGGACGCGCCCTTCCGGCCCCCCCGTGCGGAGGCGCCTGAGGGCTTATCCCGCCTGGCTGGTGTGGGGATGGGTGGGAGGGACACTCAGCTGCGCCGCTTCCCCCTCTCGCGCTTGCTTTAGGGAGGCCTTCGGAGCAAAAAGGTTTGGTATGAAGTCCTTGGGCAGTTTAAATGTCTTACAGTAAGAAATTTGGGGACTGTGCCAGATGGGGGGCATCTCCACATCGTGTATTTCCTGCCAGGAAAGTGGCACCCTGACTCCTAATATTCCTTTGATCTTGTTGAAGGGCTTCCTAATTCATCTTTCTTTCCCTTTTGTGTAACTTCTGGGACTAGAGACAGCCACCTCAGTGCCCAAATAAAGTTTCTTGGCTTGGCACTTGCTTCTTTCTTTGAGCTCCCAGTTGCCACAAAACTCTCAATAATTGTACCTTACACGGATTCGGTCGGTTTTTCAAGGCACTTTCATGTTGCAGTGTTTCATTTGATTTTTAACAGCAGCCTGCGAGGTAGATATTAGTAATCCCATACAGAAGATGAAGAAATAGTTTGAGAGAAGTTTAAAGGCTGGAATGGAGCCCATTACTGGTAGTCTCCACACGGCTTCATGTTAAAATACCCTTTTGGATTTTTGCCTAAATTTAGGGGAGTGAAGATATTCCCTGTGAGAATAGAGACCTCTTTGCACCCGGCTGCACAACTGTATCTTCTGATCAGAAATCCTTCATTGGCTCCCTGTTGTACTCTTGCATAAAATCCAGCAGGTTGGGTGTTTTTGGCTTGCTTCTCGCTGTGCCCCTCAGAACAATGCCTTGCATATGTTAGGCAGTAATAGTTTTGAGTGGATTGAATGAGTTTGGATCTCAAGTCGCTTTATCTTTAATACTTTGACCTTTTCAGCCTCCTACCACCTCACCTTTTCTACCTATCTGGTGCACTCTGCTCCAGAGGACAGAAAGAATTGTACTTTTGCAGTTTAATTGCTAACTTGGGTGCTTTGTGTCTGGCACTACTAAGTTGCTTGCATTGAATTTTCCTAATCACCTATTGAGACAGTATTTCACAGTTTAGGAAACTGAAGCACTGTCAAGTAACTTGTGTAAGGTTGCACAGCTAGTAGGTCTAGAAGTTTGAACCCCTGCAGGCTCATTCCAGAGGCATGAGTTATACTACCTTGCCCTTCCTAAATACCATGCTCTCATGATTCCAGTCCTCTCCAAAGGCTTTGTACGCTGCCTGCCTTCCTAACTCAGGATTCAGCTCCCCTCATACTTCTAGTATGTTTTCCTAGGACCACACTACTTTCCATTAGCATATCAAGTCGTGCTTAAAACTCTCCAATATCTTACTAGAGTAAAATCTAAACTTTTTTTTCTGCCTGATCTCTGACTTCCACTTGCACTGCCTCCAGCTCCCATGCCTGCCTCTCCTTAACCCTCCCCGCTCTGGTCCAGCATTTGCTTACTTGTTGCCTCTACACGCAGGGTATATGCTCCACGAGAGCTACATCCTCAGTCTAAGAATGGTCCCTGATACTCAGGTATTGGACGATGCTTATTGAATGAATGAATGCTGTGAAGAGTAGTTATCACATGGCTTTGCAGTTTTATATTCTCACAGGTTGTAAACTGGAGAGCAGGACTCCAATTGTCAGTGCCTCACACTCAGTAATTATATAAATAAATTTTCCAACTTCCAGCAGATACATTACTTATGGCATAGAAAAAAATTCTTGGCCGGGCGCGGTGGCTCACGCCTGTAATCCTAGCTCTCTGGGAGGCCGAGGCGGGCAGATTGTTTGAGCTCAGGAGTTCGAAACCAGCCTGAGCAAGAGCGAGACCCCGTCTCTACTGAAAATAGAAAGAAATTAATCGGCCAACTAAAAATATATAGAAAAAATTAGCCGGGCATGGTGGCGCATGCCTGTAGGGAGGCTGAGGCAGAAGGATTGCTTGAGCCCAGGAGTTTGAGGTTGCTGTGAGCTAGGCTGATGCCACGGCACTCACTCTAGCCCGGGCAACAAAAGCGAGACTCTGTCTCAAAAAAAAAAAAAAAATTCTTTTCAGGTCCTGCATCTCCAGTATGGAATGTATGTTTGGCCCTGTGCTGTGGTCCTGGCCCAGTACCTGTGGTTTCACAGAAGATCTCTGCCGGGCAAGGCTGTCTTAGAGGTACAAGTGTCCCTGAAGTTTCCAAATTCCTGGGTTATTTTCAACTGTTAAGTCTACATGCTTGTCATTAGCTTTTGTTAAATATTTTTGAATCGGATTGATACATAAGTTCTGTGAGCTCAAAATGTTTTTTACACTCTTAAACTGGCTAAAAAAAATAGAGTAATCCTAGCATTCTGGGAGGCCCAGGCAGGAGAATTGCCTGAGGCCAGGAGTTTGAGACCAACCTGAGCAAGAATGAGACCCCATCTCTACAAAAAATAGAAAAAATGAGCGTAGTGGTGCCATGCACCAAGGCAGGAGAATCGCTTGAGTCTAAGAGTTTGAGATTACAGTGAGCTATGATGACACCACTGCACTCTAGCCTGGGCGACAGATCTAGACTCGTCTCAAAAAAAGTGACAGACCAAAGGTGGCCCACAAAGCCTAAAATATTTACTCTCTGGCCTTTTACAATTCACTGACCCCTGTTTCTAAATGAGTCCCTTGGACTGACTTTCATAGCACTGGCAGCAGTCTTTTCTTTTAGAAATGGAGGTTTTCACTGTCGCTCAGGCTGGAGTGTAGTGGAGCAATCATAGCTCACTGCAGCCTCGAATTCCTGGGCTCAAGCGATTCTCCTGCCCCACCCTCTGGAGTACTTGGAAGTACAGACGTGTATCACTACGCCCAGCTAATTTTTCCTTATTTTTTGTAGAGATGAGGTTTCGTTATGTTGCCTGGGCTGGTCTTTAACTCTTAGACTCAAGCAGTCCTCCTACCGCCTCCTTCCTCCTCCCAAAGTGTTAGGATTACAGGTGTGAGCCACCGCACCCAACCTCCTGGGCCTTTTTATGAGGGCACTAATCCCGCTCATGATGGCTCTGCCCTCCCGTCATATTGGTGACTGTTGATGTAACCCTACCATAGCATAGCCTTCTGTTTTGGGAAATGTTATATTGACTCCAGACTAAAGGCTTGGAAAAGTAAATTTGGTCACATTTGCAGAAATGCTCTCACTGTGCTTAAGCCTAAATGCTAAATAGACAAATCAAAAGCTTAATAATTATCTAACTTTTGCAAAGCCATGTAAATGAAATGAAGGGTAGGATTTGGCACACACTTCTGGCCCAAAGTAGTCATAATTGCTAGGCATTCAGAAAAGATTATCCCTATGCCCATCCCCAAACTGAAAGATGGAAAGCTTGTGTTCAGTATTAACATGCATGAAGGCATTCCTTAGTGTTTAGTGTCTTGCCACTTTCAAGGCAGAGTAAGCATCCCAAAACGACTCCCTGTGCATAGCATTGAAACTGCCTTAGGTACATTGAATTTGGAAGCAATACTTAAGTCAGTTGCAAAATACAGGCCCCTTTAATATCTAAATGGAGTTTAACTGGTATAACTTCTGTTAACAAATTTTTATCCTTTGTCCCAGTAATTAGAGGTATCACAAGGAATTTACTGGTCATAAATTCAAAGTGTAAGCTTCTTATGGTAATGTTTAACTGTGGCACACATTTTACAGACAAGCCCCAAAATGTACTTAAGATTGTGTTTGTTAAAAAATGTAAGGATGAAATATGAAATTCTCCTTGCAGTTAAGCACAATTTTGAAATATCATCTTTTAAACTTTAGATTGGAGCTGGAGTGAGCCTTCCAGGAATTTTGGCTGCAAAATGTGGTGCAGAAGTAACACTGTCAGACAGCTCAGAACTGCCTCATTGTCTGGAAATCTGTCGGCAAAGCTGCCAAATGAATAACCTGCCACAGGTGCATGTCATAGGACTAACGTGGGGTCATGTATCTTGCAGTCTTCTGACTCTACCACCACAAGA